GCCTTCACCACGGTGTACGACGAGGTCGACGACGACCTGTTGTACGACGACGCCGAGGAGGATGAAGACCTGCCGGAGCTCGACCCCGACGTGCATGCCGACCCCGAACACCGCTGGGACATCGCCACAGTAACGGTGAAGGAGGCTCTGGCGAGCTGGAAGGGCGACGCGGTGAAGGCCGCCATGGAGGAAGAGATCCGCAGCCTCATCAGCATGGGCACTTGGGAGCTGGTCGAACGCCCACGCGGAGTGAACATCATGAAGAACCGGTGGGTGCTGACGACCAAGTACCGCATCGACGACACCGTCGAGCGCGAGAAAGCGAGGCTGGTCGTGAAGGGCTTCACACAGGTGTACGGCGCCGACTACGACAAGACGTACTCGCCGGTGAGCAGCTACGTCACGCTGAGGATTTTCCTCAGCATCGTCGCCGTCCTCGACCTCAACCTGATGCAGCTCGACATGAAGAACGCTTTCCTGCAGAGCAAGCTCGACAGGGTGCTCTACATGTACCAGCCGGACTACTTCGACGATGGGACCGGCCGGGTGTGTAAGCTGTTGAAGAGCCTCTACGGGCTGAAGCAGTCGCCGCTGCTGTGGTACAGAGCTCTCGACGGAGTGCTGCTGGGGGCTGGCTGGAAGAAGAGCCAGGTCGACGAGGCGCTCTACTTCAAGACCGGCGACGACGGAGTGACCTGTTGGGTGCTGGTCTACGTCGACGACCTGCTCGCCGCCAGCAGCAGCACCGTGATGCTGAAGGAGCTAAAGGAGCTGCTGCAGTCCGCCTTCGAGCTGCGGGAGATCTCGCCGGTGGTGAAGTACCTTGGGCTGGAGATCGTCCGCGACAGGCCGGCGAGGAAGCTGTGGCTGCACCAACAGGGCTACGCCGACAAGCTGCGTAGGCGCTTCATCGACGAGGAGCAGGGCGGTCGAGTCCCGAAGACGCCGGTCTCGGTCGACGCCTACGCCGAGCTGACATTCGACGACGAGGAAGCGCAGGAGCGCGAGGAGGAGGAATACCGGCAGAAGGTCGGCTCGCTGCAGTTCGCGGCGACAACGACGAGGCCGCAGATCGCGTTCGCCTGCAGCAAGCTGGGGAGCGGCCTCACGGTGAGGAGCGACCAGCATTGGCGCGAGGTCGACCGCTGCCTCGCCTACCTCGCCGACACCCGCGACACCGCCTTGGAGTTCGGCGGTGGACCAGAGTCGCTGGAGCTGATCGGCTACGTGGATGCCGATGACGCGGGCGACAAGCAGAACCGGACGAGCACGGGCGGCTACGTGTTCGTCTACGGAGGGGCCGCTGTCTCCTGGTCGAGCTCGCGCATCAAGTGCGCGACGCTCTCCTCGACCGAGTCGGAGTACGTCGCGGCCACGGATGCTGGCAAGGAGGGACGCCGACTTCGTTTCCTCCTTGCGGAATTCAAGCTGCTCGACGCTGGGAAGCCGACCATCCTCCGCGTCGACAACAAGTCGGCAATCACGGTCGCTGAGGGCTTGGGGCTGACGGGCAACCTCAAGCACATGGAGCGACGCTATGCCTGGCTGCAGCACATGGTGAGGCGCGGGAAGTTTGTGCTGAAGTACATCCCGACCACCGAGCAGCCTGCCGATTTCATGACGAAGGCGCTGCATTTTCCGGCCTTCGCCATCGGCCAAGTTCGACTGGCCGACGTCGGCGACGGCGACGACGAGGTGCAGCAGTAGGTGCCGTGCCCTTTTGCACGGCTGGTGCGGTGACGGCGTGCTATGTGTGGGGTGCACGCTAAGGACGAGTTTTCTCCGTGGAGTACTGCCGTGTGGGCTGGGGGCCCAAGCGTGAGCGCGGCAGGGGAGTGTTAACGGGAATGGAGTGTTGGCCCCGCCCTCGCTTGGGCAACGCCGACGACTTGGTCGGATGTACGGGTGAAGCAGCCGACCGTTCACAGTGAAGGAGCTGCTCGACGGGCTTCGTCGAGCTGCAGGATGTCACTGTGGAGCTTCCGTCGACCAGGGGTGCTCGACGGGCGCAACTGACTGGCCTGGGCGATGGGTGGGCCGTCCGGGAGGTCGACGGAGAAGTCCGTCGACCTAGAGCTCGACGGGGAGGTCTCGGGAGCATCCCGTCGAACTACAGCTCGACGGGGAGGTCTCAGGAGCTTCCCGTCGAACTGCAGCTCGACCGGGAGGACTGGGGGGCGTCCCGTCGACCTGCAGCTCGACCGGGAGGTCGACGAAGCAGTTCTGGTCGACGGAAGGGGTCCGTCGACCAGGGGGTAGCTCGACAGGAACTATGGTCGACCAGAAGGGCCTGGTGGTCGACCGGAGGCACCTGGTGGTCGACGGGGAGCACCTGGTGGTGTCCAGGTCGACCGGGTAACCTGCTCGACGAGTTCTGCGGAGGCACGCGAACGTCGTCGAGATCGCGATGGCGAAGGCGACTGCGGGCTGGTATCCCGAAGTCGATGTGGCTCGTCAGGCGCAGACAACAGCCGACGGATGCCCAACGAAGCAAGTCGGGCCAATCGTCTGCGCGCATCTGTGCGCGTACGCACTGCTGTCTTCTACGGGGCAACGCTGGACCGCCGCATTGCTGCAGCGTTGGCACGCCGTCGACCTGCAGCGTTGGCAGGTCGCTCTTCTGCAGTGCTGGCGCGGCTCCTCTACGCAACGCTGGCACGCGGTCGACCGAGCTGCGCTGGCAGTCGACCAGGCTGGCTGCAGGGTTGCTAGGTGCCTGATGTAGTCATTCTGTCATTGCTTGAATGATTCATTCTGTAATTCCAACTTTGCTAGTGGAAACTCTTGCCAATTTCTCCCGTGAATGTGCAAGCACTAAGGAACCAAGCAAAGCTACGATCACTCATAGTAGTTCGTGCCAACCCCCGTAGTCTAGCTCACTACCGTTGTAGAGTTAATCTCCGCAGACAGAGCCACGTCACCAGCAGCGACACTCCAGAAGCGAAGGGGAGTGTTGGAAACAATCAATCTAAGCGCCTCTGTCGTGTCGAAACACGAAGCCATAAGCGAAGCAAAGTATATCAAAGCACCGGCGAGTCAACCCTCGGAGGTTGAGCAGTTGCTGGAGGTTACGCGAAAGTCAAAGGTCAGCGACCTTTGACCTGACAAGTACAGCGCGACAGCAAGGACACACAACTGACTCGTTACAGAGCAGTTGCCCAAGTCGTCCCAAATTCCTTGTACTCTTATACAATCTTGTATCTCCTAGTTTTAATTAATCTACTTTGCCCTCACATACTAGCGCAAGGTGGTTCAACTGTCTCATTAAAAGCTTCCGCTATTACAACAAGTTCTAACCAGAGTTCAGCCCTGCAAAGATCCTAATGGCTTTTCTCAGCCCAACAAGCATAAACCGTCGTACTCTCATAGCGCTAGTTTCGAAGCGTACGCTGACTCGGCCGGGCCAGCGGTGCATGGTTTGGTGAAAAAGTGCACGCAAAGTTGGCGAAGCCCCGTTAGCAGTAACGGGCGAACAACGGCTACTGCTGTACTCTATGTTGAATGCAATAAGGAATGTCAAAATTCTCCTTACATATAATTATTTGTTCTGCATTGTTCCAGCAATGTGTTTGGAGTTTTTCCAGTCGAGAATGCTGTTGGGGGAACGGCCACTGATGCGGAAACTGGAAGCGCCACCGCCATCTCCGGTTTGCCTGCGTGCAGTGTCACTCCTCCGCGACGTTTACATGAGATGCCCTTTCCCGCGCGAAAACTTTTGCGGGATTTGTTTGTTCCGATAAGGTAAGTAAGCGACGAGTACGAATATGTTCGCAGTGACAGATATCCCCGCCTGGGTTTCCGGTTCGTCGTGGTGAGATCCCCGCGATGTGTTGGAAGCGGAACGCCATTATTGGGGGTGTATTGGGGTGGAACTCGACCGACGTCCGCCCCTGAGATGTTCATTCTCGCTGAACCTGTCTTGAACCTTCTTGAAACCTGGCCTTGTTCTACAGGCAAGCGTTTCCGTCTTGAAAATTCTCTAGGGTACTTCCGTCGAAAGTCAATTTAGGCTCGATAGCATGGTCAGCCCGAAAATGGTTGTCAAACCTGAGTGTTTCCGTCCGAACCAGACGGAAACATGTGACTGCAGAACAGACTCGGTGTGGAAACCGAAACAACGAAATGGAAGGTGAGTACCCACCTTCCATCAAGTGATACCACCTTTTCACGGGAAGCACAGTGGCATGCAAATGGAATCAAATGTCGAGGTACAACTCATTCTCTACCCTCCAAACTACAATTTTACCACCTCACTTTTCGGGTACCTATAGGTTGTCCCGAGGCGCCATAATTTAACCACCTTCACTTTTCGGGTACCGATAGGTTGTCCGGAGTTCAAGATAGTGAACATCGAGACTACTATTTCTTTTCTGCTGCTGTGTTTTGTTTCTCGTTAGGGTATGGGTTCGGTCCCCACCACTGTTTTGTGTTTAACAGCATCCATATCTGAGTAGACCTAAATTGTGTGGATTTCACCTTCGAAAACCCTCCCTCCGTTACTGGAAGGAGGGCCAACACCTACATCAAAAGGGGTAGAAATTTCTTGCACAAACGGTTGAGGTTCCGAGGTTTGGTTGGGCGTGAGGTTTCCATGCGAAAGCTGTATGAGGATTCCTGTGTTTCCGTTTCCACGCCGTGCCCGTCTGCCTGTAGAACAGGGCCAACACGAAACCTTCTTGAGGCGGGGACGAACCAGAGTGGCTGGGAGGCACACACACGAACGGGATTTGGCCCTGACAGCATATGCGCTGCCCACACACACATTTCCTCCCAAAACCGCATCCCTTGCCAAAACGTCGGCGAATCATCTCACGACACGTCGTGTATGCAGCCACCGATTCATTCCAATCCACATCTGTTCCCTTCCCCCTCGAGAACCCCACTTCCCTCACTCTCCATCCATCAGTACACAGCCCTTGGGAATATTTATTGCTGCATTGCACAGTCAGTTACACACTAAAATCGCAACTCGTTCCCTTGAAACCAGCAAACCAGCAGCAATGGCCCGATACCCATCGTCGACGCGCGCCCTCACCCTCGCCGTGCTTTTCTCCGTGTCACTATGGGTGGCTACTCTCCCGCGCTCCGCGGATGCAGTTCAGCTCTCCTACGTGCTGTCTCAGATCCGCAACAGGACCAACACGGGCAACGCCAACGTGGACATGTCCGCGGGAGTGGTGGAATTCGCTGCTGGATACGACAAGGCCACCGACATTTCAGGCGGTTCCTATCTTGTGCCCGTCAACGACGGCTGGACTAACGCACTCGCGGGCTACAAGACACTCAACCCATCTGCGACAACCTCGTCGGACCCGGTTCTCGAGGCGCTCAGCACGGTGGTGTCCTCGTCGGGGTCCGTGTCGGCCCTCAACGCCATGTCCGCCAACGCCAAGAACGCCATGTCGCGCCTCGCCAAGTTCATGGCGATTATCCAATACATTGCACCCTCCGACATGCAAACTGGCAACGTGAGTGACTCAGACCCGAAAATCAGCGTCGAACGAAATGATAGTGGCCAATTCCTACTCTCTTGCATTCCAAAGAAGACATCTCCACCATTCCGAGTTTACTAATCCTCTTTCCCCGTCATTGCACCTCGCCAATCGTCCCATCCTCTGTCATGCATCCGTTTCCCGTCCAAGCAGTACAAGAACGGGCGGTTCAGCTTAAGCACGGCGCTCAACCAACCAATCTATCTCTACGCCAACGTCACTGGCTCCTTGCCGGCCGCGGGCTTGGATCACGTCTTCACGGGGACCGACCGCGGGACCGTCGACCCCACGACTTACAAGACGAACGGACTCGTCGCGGGGAGTGGCGCTGGAGGACCGAAAGCAGTGGCGGATGTGACAGCCGCGTTTGGTCTGAGCAGCTCCACTCAAGTGTTGGGCAAGACCACGTCGTCGTCTGACATGTCCGCGATTGTTGTGACCGACCCGGTGTTTCCCGCTACCATGAGCTCGCTTACCAGCTCCGACCCCGTGCAACCGTATGGCAAAGGTACGCTGTAGGGTGTGGATGCTACAAGCGGGCCTTGAGCGACTTGTTGTCTTTTTTCCAGCAATTATGCCACGACAGGAAGTTCGAGACGCCGAGGCTTCTGTAAGTACCGAATAGACACTCAAGCTGAGCAATGACACGTCCTCTTGTTGCTGCATGCCAATGCATTGTGACAGCCGCTGTCCATACCTGAGCTGCTGCTGCGTCAATGCCCTGTCAGCTTCACTAACCAATTTTAAAATATTCTCCTCTGTGTTTGCAGGTGCTGGCAGTTTTGCGATGTATGGAAACTTCTTGGGCCTGGGTCTTTCATTGATTGCGCTGCTTGTGCTCCTTTAGGAGTTCATGTAAGCACAAGATTGCTCCTTTTCTCGTAAGAGTGGCAGGTTTGCTATGACGTATATTGATAGTACAGCAAATGACATACCGGTACCCTTCAGCTTGACATGATAGTATTTGTTGTGTTGAACATCAACGTAGCTGTTGACATATGAAAGAACACATTTTCGTCTGATAAACCCTTTTTATGCTCCTCGTAGTGGTATCCCTTTGGATCTCCATTTAAGGTTTCATGACGCATTTAGGGAACCAACGTGTGTCTTGTCAGACACAGATCCCTGCCTATTCCGCCTTGTTGGGCTCCTCATCGAGGAAAGGGTAGTCGATGTACCCCTTGACCTGGTCGGGGATGAAGAAGGTGCTGCGGTCATACGGGTTGAGCGGCGCGTTGAGCTCAAAGCGCCTCGGCAGGTCGGGGTTGGCCAGGAAGAGCCGGCCATACGTGATCAGATCCGCCACCCCGCTCTCTATCGCTGCCATGCCGCTCTCCCGCTGGAGATTTGGATAACAGTAGGAAATTGGAGGGGACAGGAGAGGAGAGCACAGTGGCGGATGGGGGGGTTGGAGATAGGGACGGGCGAGGGTGGGGTTGTGTGCATGCGGAAGAAGGGAAGCACAGAATATGGATAGAATGCAGCACACAAAATGTACGTGTTGTAAAATACCGTAAGAAACTACAGCATCCATTGCCTTACAATCACACCATGACATTCACCTTATGCACATCAGCAATGGCACGGCACGCTCTGGTGCTTGCAGTGCCCTACATGCAACATCTCTTGCAACAACAGAGGAGCCAACACGCCAATGCACCACTTGTGTTACAACAAACTGGACCCAGCATACCTTGAAGCCGCCGGCAGCAATGAATGGCCCCTTGAATGCCTTGCGGAATGGCTCCAGAGTCTGCAGATATGGAAGAGTGCGATGCGAAGAACAGAGTGAAGTGTGTATGTGACGTGGCCACGTCAATGGATATCAAGAAAAAATAAGACCCCATGGGCATGTCGTAAGCCCTGTTGCAAATGACAAGGCGCGCAAGCACGCAAGCATATAGTGATATGTGCGATGTGCCCACCCACACTAACCTCCACCATCTCTTACGACCCTAACCCCGCCTCCTTCACAGCCCAACCCCGCCTCCTTCACAGCTCAACCCCACATCGTTCACCCCCCAACCCCACCCCTCCCCCTGGCCAGACAGCCTTACGGTCAGACACCCAGAGAGCCAGACAGACCGCACACCCACCACCTACTCGCCGCTCACCTCCTCGGTGTCCATGCCACCGTTCCCGCGCACGCGCGCCTTGATGAAGTGCACAACGCCAAGCCAGACAGCCTTACGGCCAGACAACCCTCACACCCACCACCTACCCACCACGCACCTCCTTTCACAGTCGCCGTATCATCGTTTCCGTGCACGCGCACCTCAATAAAATGCACGAACGCCAAGCCCAAGCTGTTGACGGCCTCCACCATCCCAGTGTCTGTCCACTACCCACTCAACTGTTTCACAAGCACCGCTCACCTCCTTCTCAACTTCCATGTCGTCGTTCCCGCGCACGCGCGCCTCAATAAAGTGCACGTACGCCAGCCCCATGCCATTCAGACGCTCCACCATCCCCACGTAGGTGCCCACGGGGTCGGAGTCGGTTTCATCCAGGAAGGTGCTGTAGGGAGACAGCCGCACGCCCACCCTGCTGGCGCCCACCTCGTCCGCCACTGCCTTGATCACCTGCAGAGGGAGAATGGCAGGGGGAGGGGAGGGTGGGGGGGGGGGGGGGGAGGGACGAGGGGTCGGAGTAGGTCTCATCCAGGAAGGTGCTGTAGGGAGACAGCCGCACGCCCACCTTGTTCGCGCCCACCTCGTCCGCCACTGCCTTGATCACCTGGGGGGGAGGGGAGGGAAGGGGAACGGGGGTGGTGGCAGGCGGGCAAGGGGGGAAGGGGGATGGGTTTGGAGCCAAATTGCTGGCGCCCACCTCGTCTGCCACTGCCTTGATCACCTGGGGGTGGAAGCGGGGGGGGGGGGGGGGGCAGGGGGAGGGGGGGGGCCTGGTGGGGTGGGGAGGACGCTCATTTGCCACTTTGCTAGCGCCCACTGCCTTGATCGCCTGGGGGAGGGGGGAGGGGGGAGGGGGGAGGGGGGAGGGGGGAGGGGGGAGGGGAGGGGGGAGGGGAGAGGGGGGGGGGATGGAAGGAAGAGGGGGGGTGGGAAATGGGGGGAGAAAGAAGGGGGGGATGCTGGCGCCCAGCTCGTCCGCCACTGCCTTGATCACCTGCAGGCAGGTAGGGGGAAGGGAGTGAGGGGGGGAAGGGGGGGGATGTGGGGGAGACGGGAGGAAGAAAGGGGAAGGAGATGCGGGGAGGAGGTGGGGGGGAAGGGGGCTGTTTTCAACGTCTCGCTACAGCCCCACCGCCTTAAGATAACAAGGTAGGGGGCATTGGCAGGCTATTTCCAGCGACCCATGCACTCATCCCCATGGGTGATCTTTGCACACACCACAATCAGCCCACAATCTCTTCAAAGTCACAGCAGCTGGACCCACCTGCGCAGCAGCTAGACCCACCTGCAGGGGGAAGCGAAGCCTGTTCTCCAGGGAGCCGCCAAACTCGTCCTCACGCTTGTTGGAGCCGTCCTGACGAGGTGGAGAGGCGAGGGGACGCGGGATTACAGGAATGGGGGTTGAGGGGTTGGGGTGGGGTGGGGAGAAAGAGTGGCAGTGAATTGTTGAGAGGGGGGATAATGAGTGAGGTGTCTGAACTTGTCCTCGGGCTCTTTGCTGGGTGAAGGGTAGCGGTGGATGAGGCAGGCAGGGTTGTGGTGAATGCAGATCTGGTAAGAGGAGCAAATCTGAACAAAATCCAAGTGGCTTATGACATAAAGAGTTGAGAGCGCAGTAACCTCACATGTACAACTAACTCCTAACGCGTTGCACCCTTTTACACCGCAATACGAGAGCAGGAGACGAGTAAAAGTGGTTTCGGCGCTAATGACTGGAATCTAAGAAAATATCTTCAACCAACTAAATATTGCACTGTAGATAGTTCCCAGCATCTCCATTCTGCATTAATCACACAATCGCGTCACGACAACGAGCGGTCGTCTCACCTTGATGAACTGCTCCAGCAGGTAGCCGTTCGCGCCATGCACCTCCACGCCGTCGAACCCCGCGTCAATCGCGTTGCGCGCCGCCACGCGGAACTGCTCCGTCACCTGGGGGATCCACCCGTGCCGGGCATTGCAACGAGGGAAGGAAAAAAGTGAACGGATATTGCAACAATAAGTGCGCGTCGCCACGCGGAACTGCTCCGTCACCTGGAATCACCCGCGCGGGACATTGCAACAATAAGAAGGTGAACAATGGAAACGGGATGCCTAGGGTGGATAGTGGAAGGGTATCGTGGGGATACAACACGGGGCGCAGGCGCGCGGTACGGCACGATCGCTTGGAGTCACCTGTGCCGGACATTGCGACGCGACGATGGGAAAGGGTGAATCATGGGGACGGGACGAAGGGAGCAAGAAGCACGAACTCCACGGCGCGCAGCCGCACGGTACTGATCGGTCAAGTGCGGTTAGCCAGTGTAAAGTGGAACGAGCAGGTTCGATACTGGCGATAGCGGAGATGGGACTATGCGGAACCAGCGTTGCGCAGCGAGCACGAATGCGGAACCCGCGTCGCGCAGAGAGCACGAATGCGGAACCCGCGTCGCGCAGCGACCACGAATGCGGAACCCGCGTCGCGCAGCGACCACAAATGCGGAACCCGCGTCGCGCAGCGAGCACGAATGCGGAGCCTCCCCTGCCCTCGCGCTTCAGCCCTACCCCGAAGAGAATAAACCACGTACGTCGCGTCTGTCTCTGTACCCACGCAGCCGCGCGGCTCCGTACCTTCGACGGTAGGTAGTCTCCCTTACCTTCTTGATCTCTTCCGCGGTCATGGCCCGCGGCGTGGGATAGTCGACGGCGCCAGTGCTGATGTACACTTTGTCCACGCTACGGATGGGAATGGCTGACGGAGCCATGGGCGCGGCGCCATCAGGCTGGTACTCTGCTCGGCGCGCAGTGGGAGTGGGGAAGGGGTAGGCGAATGACGAGGAGGAGAGAAGGAGCGCTGAGGAGCGACAGTTGTGAATGCGCGAAGACTCTCGGACAGAAAAAGGGGAACTAGTACGTGGACTTGGTTCTCATCGTGTGATGGTAGAGTGAGGGACGAAGCGGGGAGAACGAAAGATGCTGGATGTGCGATTGGAATTGCCAATGTGAATGGCAAGGGTCTCCTTTTACCCCAGGTTGATAATCAACCTTGAACGACAACCCCAGGTTCTATGTGTGGAGAAGCGAGTTTCTGCCGCCCCAGCCCTTCACACACAAGGAGCAGCAAGGGGGGAATGTCGGCGACGGAGTCAAGCTTGGGAATTGATCAGACTGGGGCCCCGGGTTAGCAGAAACAGTGCCAACTTGGGGCCTCGTGAGTCGCGACCCTACGAAATAGGCCCAAAGCAAATCGCAAGCAGGACTGGGCAGCAGGTCCGAACCTGGCAAACAGGCCAGGTCACCACCTACTGCCTAACCAACACAGTCTGATTGTTATGAATGAACTTGTCAGAGTGCGCAGATATCGAATAACGATAATGTTGAACTACAGAATCACGATACAATGAGAAAGGCACAACTAAATAGGGGAAAACCTAGCTAGGCGGGGGGTTCGGGATGGGATGGCTCGGTGATGGCTACGATTGGAGCGGAGGCCGACTCGGGGGTGGTTCGGTGCGACGAAATAGGCCGAACAGGTTCGTCGCGACACCTTCGGGATGTACTCGCTAAAGTGCGAGTACAGTAAGGAATTGTAATTCCTTACACTCTCCCACCTTCCAAAGAAGGCACCCTGTACTGAAACAAGCCCCACACTAGCGAGGATTTCGAAGATCTCCTCTTCAGCTGAATCCGACGGCTGAAATCCCTTGGGCGAACTTGAAATAGAGGTTGGAATTGAGGCCGTTGATGTTGTCAGATTTCGATCTGACGGTCGACGATGAACTGGCCCAAATGAATTGAAGGTTGGAATGTGGGCTGTAGATCAAGCAGATGCAGATCTGACGGTCGAAGACTGACGCGAAATGGGAGGGAACCTGCTGACGCAAATTCAAACGCGATTGAGCAGGGACCATTGACCGTGTCGGTGTGATCGCGATCGTCCGTCGTGCTGACGCAACCTGACAAAGTCAGAAATGTTGCCGAGAAAACGCCAAGGAAAGAACAGTGCAGCGCACGTTTTCTCCTCCTTCAAGAAAAACACATCAGAAAAGTTCCCGATGCTGCGCCGAGATGAAAACAAACAAAACCAGGTGTTAATTCTTACTGAAAACGAACGTTGACCGTAAAAGTCCAGGTGAAAACTACGTCGGTGTGGAAATTTCGATGACGAAACCGGGTGTAACGTGCCCAAAATTCTTCAAGGGTGAACCAGCAGATGTAGACCAGAAACTGAAACCAAAATTCCGCGTTGCTCGAACTGAAGTTGTTCGGTCTTCACATGCCAGAATCCTGTAGTATCTCCAGTAGTTGCAGTTGGCAGCACCTGACGTGGGCAGAATGTGAACTCATTTGTCCTGGGCGGGTCGAGGTGGGCGAATTGTCGTTAGTAGAGTTGGAGTTCCTGTCCCGAAATCCTCTGGCCGTGAAATCGGGAGTGTTACGAAAATCGTCGAAGTCGGCGATCGAAGGCGATTGGCAACGAAGTCGATTATTGAGAGTCGGCGATGGTCGTCGAAGCAGTAACCAAAATCAAATGTCACTTCGGTAAAAGTTATCGAACGTCGATTTAGTGTCAGATGATGTCAGCGCGGTCGGCGGCCTTGTCCAGACTCGCCGAGAAAATTGTCGCAATGCGCCGAGGGGTCCTGGGCAGAGATGAAAATTTGCAGCTGTCTTTCTCCCCCTCCACTGTTGCTGCCGCCTTCTTCAGTTCGTCGTAAGTCCTTCGTACCCCTGAGAAAATCTGTGTAGTTCCCGCACTATTGCCCCACGTAATCGTCGCGCGCGCTTAACCAAACTCCGAAAGTACTGTCACGAAATTGCCGCGCTTTTCGCCATAAAAACCGTGAAGTCCTTCGTCAAACTCCGAAATCGTCGCTCGAAACGTAGCCCCGTAAATCCGCAGTCGCAGGTGCAGTTCTCCTCCGAAAATATTCGGTCGTACTATAGCCGCCCACTCGGTCACCAGCTGTTTCCGTCAGTTCAGAACCCATCTGGGGGCATAATCTGGAACCGTGGACTAGACCTGGGTTATTCCGAGACCGAATTTCACGGAACCTAGTGGCATCAACGCCGTTGACCCCGTCGTCGAAACTGTCCCAGTCGATGTCGCTTAACTGAAAACCACGCAAACTCCCACTGGCGCTTTGCGATGTTTCACCTCATCGCTCGTCACCGGCAGGTAAATCCCGAAGCCTCGGCTGCTCCCACGCTCCCTGAAGAATTTCCCGCGGTGTACGTTTAAACACCCGTGGGTCCTAGGTATCAACCGCACTCCAAGAAACGAAGAAACACCCTCAGCTTCAACACCTTTTTATTTATTTATTTATTTTTTTCGTAGGAAGATAACCCCGAAAATCGTGGTTGAGGCTGCAGTCCCGAAGCCATTCTCCGCCGTATAGCCCCGACGTTTCCGCCGTTTTTTCCCTGGTACTCCGATGTTCACCCATCTTCGTACCCGCCGGAACTACTTAGCGAATCCCAGGTATCCTTGGCAATGTACCGCTCGCCGCGCCTCCATGTAACGATATCAAACCCTTTCGGGGGTCTACCGAATAGACTCCGAAATTCGCGGTAGATTGGTGCACGGGCTCAACCTATCACTCAAGTGATCTGCTGGATCACCCACAACTTTCCCTCCATCGTCATATTTTTTTCGTATTCACCCCCCGACAATTCCGCTTCCCGCCGTTCACCCAGCGTCCGCTTTTGTCGGATGGGGTATCGTCGTTGTTGCCCGCGCGAACTCGGCCACGGTGGAGAGGCAAAAACTATCGGAGTCGGGGCAGCCTTAGTTAAAAGGAAACTGTCGCCCAACCGTTTTGCAGCCCGCCGTGCCTATCACGTCACGTAAAATCCACAGCTTCCCGGTCTCAGCTTCGCCGCTGCGCCGTCGATTCGTGTAGACGCCCGGGTCAGGAGAAACCTGTAGACTGCACCATTTCTTCTTCGGAGCTCCCCGACTTTTCGCCTGCCGTTCACCCAACCCGTTTTTGTCGGAGTAAAACAGTGCCACGAGCTCCACTTTTTTTTGTCTTTTCTGTACAGCTGTCGAACGGGCACCGATCCTGGTACCTTTAACCAGCGCAGGGTAGGCCACGTGTTCACCCCCGTTATTCATCCGAATAAGGTCGACTGCATGAGTCGGAACGAGTAAAGACTTGGTGGGGATGGTGAGGTTCGGGCGAAGTAGGGCCGCAGATCGATTCCACCGGCTTTTAATCTGCCCCCGCAACGTTCTTCAACCCCCGCTTAGCCGTTGGGCCGTTTCTTCTCGCGTGTCCCGGCAGCCTGTACCGACCCCTCCGAAATTATCGGGCGGTACCTTGGACACCGTTTAACCGTGGGTTGTCAGCAGCTGTCCCCGAAAACAACGTCCTTGGTCAGGGGAAACTGTTCTCGATACTGCCGGCCAGCTTGCAACAACACCAGGCACGCAGCGTCGCACGAGTTCTTTCGAGGTGTACCTGCCCCGATTTCCCTCGTCGCCTGCGTCCCACTCCTCGTAAGTGCGGTTTAGCCACCGCGTTTTCCGTTGCAGCCCGTAAGTGTCAGCAGGTATGAAGTCCCGTCTGTCCACGAGCACTTCTGCCGAAATTGCTGATGACGCGCCCGCCAATGCAGTAAAAGCCGCCGCACTTAACAGGTCGGGCGGGACGGCAGTTAACTCCCGCGAAGTCGGGCAGTCTTGTGTCGTCTCTCCTCGCCACCGACTTTTTCGGACGCAAAACTCCTTTTGCACCTGGCGAGTTCCCCAGCTGACGTTTTCTTCAACAGAAGTTCCGAAAATTTCGCCACAGTGACGCATGTGCGTTGTCAACAGTTGCCGAGCCACACTCCGTGATTGTCGCGCAGCTGTTGACCCAGGTCCATCGACGTCAACTGCCACATCGGACGACGAGTCTGAAATCTTCGTGCAGATGCCGACGCAGGTCCGCTGACTCTGGCTGCCGCACAAAATTCCGAAATCGTCGGTAAACATGCAGCGGAATAGTAACTCACTTTACGTCGCGACAGCTCCAGCTGTCCGTTGCCCGGGGGGGGGGGGTCGATCGCGACCGTTCGAGCTAAGGATCTGGCGGTGCCGAAGGAGTGCCCCGTAAAACTATGGCCGCGAAGAGCAACTAACTAGTTCTCTTGGCCGGCCTACGCAACTCCTGGACCCCAAGACATCCTTCCTCGTCCCCCCCCCTGTCAAGATGAGGAATGAATGATGCATTGATGTTGGTTGGGGTACATATAGCTAACCCTAAGTTTTGTACCCCCTAAGACAAACCTCACTATAGGCTATAACATTTGACACACCCCCATAGCCTAAGTGAGGGGTGTCTAGCAAAACCAAACGAGTACGGTCACAAGACCAGTCCAAGAAACGAAGCTCAGGGTGGATCACAACGTCACCACACAGTCTGAGCACAAACAACAGTGGCCACAAGGCCAGTCCAAGAAGTAACAGAGGTATATAGAAAGCAAAGTAAACAGTACACTCAAGTCTAAGCAACACGAGAACCAGTGTCAACAAGGCCTAACTGCACACAGCACCTCTGGTGGTCACAAGGCGGAAGCGCCTTGGTGAAGATGTCTGCAGTGTTGGCCTCGGACTCCACAAACTCAAAGCGAGCCTGTCCACGCCTCTGCAACTCTCGCAGAAGAAAGTACCTGACGTGAATGTGCTTCACTCTGCTCTCCAGTCGTGGCTCTCGACAAAGGAGAATAGACGCCTTGTTGTCAGTGAACAAGGTCGGTGCAGAGCTCGGCCGCTCACCAA